TTTTATGGCTTATATTTCGGAAATTTCGATTGAGGATTATAAGTTGGTGGATTATCTCGATAGAGCAGATTTTTCTGTATTACAATCGTTGGTTTTTTTTCGGTTTTTCCGGGTCAGTGCTGCAAACGAGCGACGGAAGTGTACGCGAGTGACAGGTGGTGCTGCGTTATAGACTTTTATGGCTTACATTTCGGAAATTTCGATTGTGGGTTATCAGTTTTTAGATTATCTCGATAGAGCAAGTTTTTCTTTAATAGGATCGTTGGTTTTTTTTCGGTTTCGCCCGGTCATTGCTGCAAACGAGCGACGGAAGTGGAAGTGAGTGACAGGTCGTACTGCGCAATTGAGTTTTATGGCTTATATTTCGGAAATTTCGATTGAGGATTATAATTTGGTGGATTATCTCGATAGAGCAGATTTTTCTGTAATAGAATCGTTGGTTTTTTTTCGGTTTTTCCGGGTCAGTGCTGCAAACGAGCGACGGAAGTGGAAGTGTGTGACAGGTCGTGCTGCGCAATAGAATTTTATGGCTTATATTTCGGAAATTTCGATTGAGGATTATAAGTTGGTGGATTATCTCGATAGAGCAGATTTTTCTGTATTACAATCGTTGGTTTTTTTTCGGTTTTTCCGGGTCAGTGCTGCAAACGAGCGACGGAAGTGTACGCGAGTGACAGGTGGTGCTGCGTTATAGACTTTTATGGCTTACATTTCGGAAATTTCGATTGTGGGTTATCAGTTTTTAGATTATCTCGATAGAGCAAGTTTTTCTTTAATATGATCGTTGGTTTTTTTTCGGTTTCGCCCGGTCATTGCTGCAAACGAGCGACGGAAGTGGTAGTGAGTGACAGGTCGTACTGCGCAATTGAGTTTTATGGCTTATATTTCGGAAATTTCGATTGAGGATTATAATTTGGTGGATTATCTCGATAGAGCAGATTTTTCTGTAATAGAATCGTTGGTTTTTTTTCGGTTTTTCCGGGTCAGTGCTGCAAACGAGCGACGGAAGTGGAAGTGTGTGACAGGTCGTGCTGCGCAATAGAATTTTATGGCTTATATTTCGGAAATTTCGATTGAGGATTATAAGTTGGTGGATTATCTCGATAGAGCAGATTTTTCTGTATTACAATCGTTGGTTTTTTTTCGGTTTTTCCGGGTCAGTGCTGCAAACGAGCGACGGAAGTGTACGCGAGTGACAGGTGGTGCTGCGTTATAGACTTTTATGGCTTACATTTCGGAAATTTCGATTGTGGGTTATCAGTTTTTAGATTATCTCGATAGAGCAAGTTTTTCTTTAATATGATCGTTGGTTTTTTTTCGGTTTCGCCCGGTCATTGCTGCAAACGAGCGACGGAAGTGGTAGTGAGTGACAGGTCGTACTGCGCAATTGAGTTTTATGGCTTATATTTCGGAAATTTCGATTGAGGATTATAATTTGGTGGATTATCTCGATAGAGCAGATTTTTCTGTAATAGAATCGTTGGTTTTTTTTCGGTTTTTCCGGGTCAGTGCTGCAAACGAGCGACGGAAGTGTACGCGAGTGACAGGTCGTGCTGCGTAATAGAATCTTATGGCTTATATTTCGTAAATTTCGATTGTGGATTATATATTGGTGGATTATCTCGATAGAGCAGATTTCTCTTTAGTAGGATCGTTGGTTTTTTTTCGGTTTTGCCCGATCAGTGCTGGAATCGAGCGACGGAAGTGTACGCGAGTGACAGGTCGTGCTGCGTAATAGATTTTTATTTCTTATATTTTGGAAATTTCGATTGTGGGTTATCAGTTTTTAGATTATCTGGATAGAGCAGATTTTTCTGTAATAGGATCGTTGGTTTTTTTTCGGATTTGCCGGGTCAGTGCTGCAAACGAGCGACGGTAGTGTGAGTGAGTGAAATGTCGCTACGTAGTTGTCTGTTATCGTCTATATTTTTGAAATTTTGGTTGAATCTTTCAATTTTTGGCTCTAATTTTTTAGCGTATGTGCTGTTTCTTTATTGTGTTATCAATTTTTTTTCGATTTTGAACTGTTAATCGCATATTATATTTAAAGCTGCTATTACTTACTGCGTAATATTATTTGCTTTTTATTTATATTCTAAGTTTCCTTTTTTCCAGTTTGTTTTTGGTCTTAGTTTCATCGAGTTGATATTTGTTTAATTATTGTGTTCATTTTTTTCATTTTCTTCTGGTCATTTGTGTAATGATGCGTTGGAAGTGCGTGTCGCTTAGGTATTCTGCGTTGAGTTCAAATATCGATTGTAGATTCTAGATTTTTATTGTGAATTGCTGCATTTAGTTAACATATCTTGGAAGTGGCATTTTTTCAATAGACATCTGTATAAAATTTTATTCGTGAAATTCATTCGAAGCTTTATACGATTATGGTATTGTTCAAAAGATATATTCATAATATTATGCTGATTAAATGTTGTTGTATTAATGCTCAATTTTGCATTCAATACCATCATGTTCAAATAAACCGTGTTGCTTTCTTCGAATGAAATCTTTATTTTTAAAGAACGAATAATTCTTTCTCGAATTAAGTCCTTATTCTTTATTTACTTATAAATTCGATAGATCTATTCGTTGTTTTTCGTCGCTCGTATAAAATGTGCCCAATTTTAACTATAATTTTTCCCATAATCTATGGAGTTTTCATTTATACAATAAATTACGATACACAAAATAATTTCTTTATTACGAATCAGATACGATGACACGTATGTACACAATAGTGGTCGCAATCGAGCAGCGTAGACTGCTCGATTCCTTACTTATATCGTTACAGTCACTGGTGTTGTCCATTAGTGTGATATATATGGGTTACAGATATCTCATACAAACACTGTACGCTAGTTTACACAATGCCGATAATGTAGCGCGCGTGTATTTACAATACACCTTAAACACCTTTAGTGTCACCGTGGTTCTGTTTGCTTCTGCAAGTGTTACTTCTGCAAGTCCACCACTCGATGATACGTAAATCTAGTATACATACTCGAGTTGTTGGTCCTTTAGCCTAAAGTTAGTAACCAAATTTTAAACGCACGAACTATAAAACTCTTCTTAACCCTTTGACTACGACAGGTTTTGAAACGCATGGGTCGTACCACACGGGTAGGAATTCATTTACAATGTCCGCCGAGAACGGAAAAATTTTGGGTACAGATGCGCCCTCCGTGTCAGAAAAGCAAACTGCGTTGAGCGCTTATATGCGCCTTCCGTGTCACAAAAGCGAAATTTCTGAGCGCCTATATGCGCCCACAGTAGCCAAGGGGTTAATCTATCCGCTGCTACGTGGATTAACGACGTGAACTCTAATAAGAGAAAATAAAACGTTATATTCAACCAAGCCCATGGAGCTCCCGTGGTTCACATTTCTCGCGAACAGCTCTTGGTCTGCCAAAAGAACGTTGTTTCGTGACCGTGTGCCTTAACACCTAACGATACACTTACTCGCGTGTGTATTCTATTGCATATATATCTAACGTTTATTAATTGTGTTTGTTGCAGATACCTTAAAGAAACACGTACGCATATACACTAATACGCGGCTATCGAGGGGAGAAAATGCAAAACCAAGGAATAATTGCAAAACATCTTTATTCGATCGAGAACACATGACATCTCGTGTGAACGAACCAAAGTAGAAAGACAGAAGAAAAGTGGAAAGAAAAAGGTACGAACGAAATATAATAGAATCCGTTCCATAACGCGATAAACATGGCCGCTTCGAACGGATCAATGAGACCGGAAACGCTCGGCTTCCTCGCGAAGCCCAGCCGGAAACATCAACGTCGCTACGAATACGACTCACCTATACGATACTGGGGGAGAGGGTTAATGTAAATCACGAGTGTTAATGGGAACACAGGGGTCTGGGGTGATACGGTTACCAGAAGAGCGAGGGGCGGTTAGATATAAGAACGAAGCTGATCAAAGGGGATGCTACATGCGACTCGAGGAGTCGCATCTACTCTACGTATCGGTCGAATCCGATGCTGGGACCAGATTCGTCCGTATCACGGATTTAAGCTCTAGTTATTGCTTTGTAATACGCGTGGTTTAAGGTGAAAACAAATCTGAACTTTCATCCGTACGCTGTTTGCTCGGGTATCACGTGCCGTGATACGTGATCGATATCGTATCGAGGATGGCCGTCGAGATTATGTTTTCGTAACCTTATACAAAGAAACAAAAATTATTGACATCGTACGGATATATATGTAAATATATATGTGTGTGTACGTATATAACTATATGTGTTTACGCAGAGATAAGTAGAGTCTTATACATAGCTTACAGAGTTCCGTATCTCGATATCGAATCTTACTCAACTATCACGCCGATGCAGAGGACAAAGGGGGGATCTAGAGACGATCATTCTTCGCGAAATAAATATCGAACGACGCGAGTTCATCACAGCCCGCAATTTAGCTTAGACCTAATTCCGTCGGAGGCATTATCGCGAGACACCTACAACCTCCAAGGTTTCCCGGTGTATGTTTCAAAAAACGAAAAGAAAACGCAAAACATTCGTGTTGGAAAAAAATCTGCGAAAGAAAGAAATAATTTCCTCGTGTGTGTTAATTGGTACGGCAGAGGAGGGAATCTATGACGATTTTAATTAGAAACGACAGGCATGTAGAACTTGTGCTTCGGCGTGTCTCTGGTGTGCTTGAAAGGCGCCTGTTTAGCCTCGATCAGCGCCGCTGGACAGGGTCCTTTGTGTCTGGGTGCGTATTCCTTCTTGTACATACTCGAGGTGACCGTGGTTCCATCCCCTAAATTGATGTGAGACACATTCGCCTGTTTGTGTACCCTCTCCACCTTCTGGCTAGCGAAGTTCCCGTAGCTCTTGGCCTCGCTGTGCGAATAGAACTTCCCACCGACGGTTAAGTTGTCCTGTCGAACGATTCTCTGTGGACGTTCGTAGGTCGAGGATGCCCAAGGGTTCCCGTCCTTGGTGCTGCGATGCAGAGACGTCAGGCTGCGTCGATCGCTGCTCTGGCTCGAATTGCTGATGTACTGGCCGCTCTCAGCCAGGTTCGAGATACTCTTCTTCTGGTCGGCAGCTGTGGACGAGATGGTGTGCAGAGCCTCCGTGGATGAGGTGGTTCCGCGTCTGTGGAGAACCGAGTTGGTCACGTCGGCAGACGAGGAAGAGATCACGTTCTTCCTGTGATGACTGGTCTTCGTGACAGCGGTGTCCATTTGCGACCTCTCCATGGACTGCCCGCTGATGGCCTGTCTGAACTCGGCACTGCTCGATTGGTTAGAGTTGTAGCGAGCTTGGCTGGAAATCGTGTGCTGCTCGTGTTGCTTCTGTTTCGTCGCAGTCTGCCGGGATTCCACGTGCTGGGTGTTCACGTAGTCTCGCTTGCTCGTGTCTTGGTGGTGTCTTTCGAGCTGCTGCTTCTGCTGATGCTCGCTGTATCTTCCGTCGATCATCAGACCCCGGTGATTCTGAGCGTCAGTGACACACCTGTCGTCGATGACTCGCCGCATTTGGCTCACGTTTTGAGACCTCACGTGTCTCTCGCTCGAGTGTGTCCTCTGATGATGCTCGTTCGCGTACTGCTGACTGCTGGATGTCAGTGACTTTCTAGGCTCTGCCAGGGGACCTGGTCCATCTGAGGGTTGCATGCCACGATGCTCCGTTATCATGCGTTGAGACTGATGCTGAACGTTCTGGGCAGACGAGATTCTCTCGCCGGCTGTCTTCTTCGTGGTTGTAATCAGCGTGCCGTTTTCCAGAGTCTTTGACTCCGTGGAAAGGCTCTTTCTAGTGTCAGACTCCATGCTGCTTATCTTCGCGGCTACTTCCTTGGCAGTGCGTTTGGTGAAGGTGTTGTAGTTTCGTTGGGTAGTCGTAGACATCACGGACGTGTCGTCTCCGAGAGTAATCGAAGACTCCATGTGATGTCTGCGGCTGACAGTCTTACCAGGCGGGGAGTCTTCCTTCTTGGTCGGTGTGTACATGTCTCTGGTAGTGGTTTTAGTCTCCATGGCACCGGTGCTGACTTTCAGGTTATCCTCGTGGCGCTTGATCTCGGCGCGTTCTCCACGAACGACGGTGTAGGTGGACCTCTGCGAGGTGGTGTCTTGGAACTCGCCGATCATCTTCAAGTTATCCTCTCGGCGCACCACGTCGACCCTTTCTCCCCTCTTCGGTGCGAAATCGTCGCGAGGTCTTCCAACGAAGTCGCCTTCCGGTTTCAAGTTGTCCATGTGACGAATGGGAGATCGACGCTCGATCGGACCCATCTTCTCTGGGGTTCTACGCTCGAAGTCACCCTCTGGCTTCAGATTATCCTGGTGTTTGATGGGTGATCGTCTCTCACCGGGACCTAGCGGGGACTTCTGTGGTCGGTCAAACTCTCCTTCGGGACGGAGGTTGTCAGGGTGCTTCTTGCCCATAGTACGTTCGCCGATCACGTGCGTGTAATCGTCTCTGCGACGCACGTCGATCAACTCACCCTCGATCTTCAGATTGTCCTCGTGTTTCCTGACGTTTACTCTCTCGACCTTCGTAATCTTCTTGTAGTCGTCTCTTGATCGACGAACGTCCATCTCTCCTTCCATTCTCAGGTGATCCTCGTGACGACGGACTTCCATTCGTTCTCCGTTCACGTGTCTGTAGTCGTCCTTCGAAGACGGGCTGACCTCCATCTCGCCCTCTGGTCTCAGGTTGTCCTGAGGCTTCCTAACCGGCATGCGTTCACCTCTCTTCGGGACGAAGTCGTCCTTAGGCACGATGTAGAAGTCTCCTTCTGGGTGGAGATTGTCCTCGTGACGAATCGGAGTTCGTCTCTCAGCTGGGCCCACTTTCTGCGGTATCCTTTTAGCGAATTCACCTTCGGGATGCAAGTTGTCCTTCGGTTTCTTCACGTCAGCTCGTTCTCCCTTAGTAGGCGAGTCTTGCCGCGGTCTGCCAATGAATTCTCCCTCCGGATGCAGATTATCCGGGTGTTTGATCGGTGTGCGCCTCTCGGCAGGACCAACTGGTGCCTTCTCTGGCCTCTCGAAGTCTCCTTCGGGTCTCAGGTTGTCTTTAGGCTTCTTCACGGTAGCCCTCTCGCCCTTGGTCGGTGTTGGAGCTTTGGGACGTTGAGCGAATTGACCCTCGGGTTTCAGATTGTCAGGGTGCTTGATAGGTGTCCTTCTCTCAGCCGGACCAACCGGGGACGTCTCAGGCCTCTCGAAGTCTCCTTCGGGTCTGAGATTATCCTCGTGTCTGATGATCTCGCTGCGTTCTCCGCGAGTCACTCTGTAATCATCGCGTCTACGAATATCCACGAATTCGCCCTCGACCTTCAGGTTGTCCTCGCGACGAACCACGTCGACACGCTCGACCTTGGTGATGGTCTTGTAATCGTCCCTCGATCGACGCACGTCGATGTCACCTTCCATCTTCAGGTTGTCTCTGTGCACCACTATCTCGGTCCTCTCGCCCTTCGTTGGCCTGTAATCGTCCTTGGGCTTGCCTATGAATTCACCTTCCGGTTTCAAGTTATCTTTGGGCTTCTTCTGAACCGGTCTGTCGGCTCGTTTCGGAGAGAAGTCGTCCTTGGGTCTTCCAACGAATTCTCCTTCGGGATGAAGGTTGTCCTCGTGTCTTATAGGTGTTCTCCTCTCCGCTGGTCCAACGGGAGACTTCTGCGGTCTCTGGAACTCTCCCTCGGGACGAAGGTTGTCCTTCGGCTTGGTCACGTCAGCTCGCTCGCCTCTAGTCGGCGTCTCTTCCTTAGGACGACCAATGAATTCTCCTTCTGGACGCAGGTTATCCGGATGCTTAATCGGACTTCTCCTCTCGGCTGGACCGACCGGTTTCTTCTCTGGCCTGTCGAACGTGCCTTCCGGTTTCAAATTGTCCTTAGGCTTCTTCACGTCTGCCCTCTCGCCCTTCTTCGGCGCCTGCTCCTTCGGGCGGCCTATAAATTCGCCTTCCGGTTTCAAATTGTCATCGTGCTTGATAGGTGAACGTCTCTCAGCTGGTCCAACGGGTTTCTTCTCGGGTCTGTCGAACTCTCCCTCGGGTTTCAGGTTGTCTTCCGGTTTCTTGATCTCCGGCCTCTCTGCCTTCTTGGGCGAGTAATCGTCCTTGGGACGACCCTCGAACGGACCCTCAGGCTTCAAGTTGTCTCGATGTTTCACGACGTCCATGCGATCTCCCTTTACGACCTTAAAGTCGTCCCTGGTTCTGACGTCTGTGAACTCGCCTTCCATACGCAGGTTGTCCTGGTACTTGGTGACCTCCGTCCTCTCGCGAATCAGGAAGTCGGTGTACTCGTCCCTGGACCTGTAAGTCTCGATGTTGCCTTCCATTCGCAAGTTGTCTGTACGTTTGACGATGTCCACTCGTTCGCCACGAACAGGAACGAAGTCGTCCTTGGGACGACCTTCGAAAGGCCCTTCGGGTTTGAGGTTGTCCTCGGGTCTCTTGACATCCGCGCGTTCTCCTCTGGTAGGTTTGTAATCGTCCTTGGGCCTTCCAACGAAGTCCCCTTCTGGTTTGAGATTGTCAGGGTGTTTAATCGGAGTTCGTTTCTCGGCAGGTTTAACCGGGGACTTTTCTGGTCTGTCGAAGTCGCCTTCCGGACGGAGATTATCCTGCGGTCTCTTCACATCCGCGCGTTCTCCTAGTTTAGGTGCTTCTTCCTTTGGTTTTCCCACGAAGTCACCTTCCGGTTTCAGGTTATCCGGATGCTTGATAGGCGTTCTCTTCTCAGCCGGACCGATCTTCTTCGGCTGAGGCCTGTCGAACTCTCCCTCGGGTTTCAAGTTGTCCTTGGGTTTCTTCACTTCTGGTCTCTCGGCAGGTCTGTAGCCTTCGTGTTCCGGTCGTTCGAATTCGCCTTCTGGTTTCAAGTTGTCGGGATGCTTTATCGGAGTACGTTTCTCTGCTGGGCCAAACGGTTTCCTCTCCGGTCTGTCGAAAGTGCCCTCTGGTTTCAGATTGTCTTCCGGCCTCTTGACATCGGCTCTTTCTCCTCTGGTCGGCGTGTCCTCCTTTGGTCGTCCAATAAATTCTCCCTCGGGTTTCAAGTTATCTTGAGGCTTCTTCGCAATTGGTCTCTCAGCCGGTCTGAATTCCTCAGGTTCTGGCCTCTCGAAGTCACCTTCGGGTCTTAGATTGTCAGCGTGTTTGATCGGTGTTCTCCGCTCTGCTGGGCCAATGGGTTTCCTCTCTGGAACCTGGAATTCTCCTTCAGGATAGAGGTTGTCCTTTGGCTTCTTCACATCGGCTCTCTCGCCTCTTCGCGGTGCCTCTTCTTTTGGTCGACCAAGGAAGTCGCCTTCCGGTTTCAGATTGTCAGTCGGTTTCTTAACGATCGGCCTCTCGGCAGGCTTGAACTCTTCCGGTCTGGGTCTCTCGAATTCACCCTCTGGTTTTAGATTATCCTCGTGCTTGATAGGCGTTCTCCTCTCGGCTGGACCAACAGGCTGCTTCTCTGGTCTGTCGAATTCTCCCTCGGGTCTTAGATTATCCTTAGGCTTCTTGATAGGTGCCCTCTCTCCGTGTTTGGGTGCTTCTTCTCTTGGTCTACCAATGAACTCTCCTTCTGGTTTCAGGTTATCCTCGGGTCTCTTCACCTCCGGCCTCTCTGCTCTCTTGGGAGAATAATCATCCTTGGGACGACCTTCGAAGGGTCCCTCTGGTCTCAGATTGTCAGGATGCTTCACGATGTCAACTCGTTCGCCTCTCACGACCTTAAAATCGTCCCTCGTTCTAACGTCGGTAAATTCACCTTCCATACGCAGGTTGTCCTGGTACTTTGTCACCTCGGTCCTCTCGCGAATTAGGAAGTCCGTGTACTCGTCCCTGGATCTATAGGTTTCGATGTCTCCTTCCATTCGAAGGTTGTCGGTGCGTTTGACAACCTCCACGCGTTCACCACGGACCGGTTGATAATCGTCCTTTGGACGACCTTCGAACGGACCCTCTGGTCGCAGATTGTCCTCTGGTCTTTTGACGACAGCTCTGTCCCCTTTGGTAGGAGTGAAGTCTTCCTTGGGCTTGCCAACGAATTCTCCTTCTGGTTTCAGATTGTCCGGATGTTTAATCGGGGTTCTCCTTTCCGCTGGACCGAACTTCTCAGGACTAGGACGTTCGAAATCACCTTCTGGCCTCAGATTGTCCTTGGGTTTCTTCACCTCAGGCCTCTCCGCTGGTCGATACTCTTCGTAATCGGGTCTATCGAAGTCTCCTTCGGGACGAAGGTTATCCGGATGTTTAATTGGAGTACGTCTCTCTGCCGGGCCATACTTGGGTTTCTCTGGTCTCTCGAACTCACCTTCGGGTTGTAAATTGTCTCGAGGTTTTCGTACTTCGGGACGTTCGGCTGTCTTCGGGGAGAAATCGTCCTTTGGACGACCTTCGAATGGACCCTCGGAACGGAGGTTATCGTCGTGTTTGATAGGCGTTCTACGCTCTGCTGGGGTGAATGGAGTACGTTCCCTGTCTGGGAATTCGCCTTCAGGGAATAGATTATCAGGATGTCGTACGATGGATAGTCTTTCACCAGGCCCATAAGGAATAACCATTGGCCTTTCGAATTCTCCTTCTGGATAGAGGTTATCAGGATGTTTGATAGGTGTACGTTTCTCACCGGGAGTGTACTCCTCCCTAGGCCGGTCTTCAAACTGTCCCTCAGGACGAAGATTGTCCCGCGGCCTCTTCACCTCCGGACGTTCCGCAGTTTTAGGTGTAAAATCGTCCTTCGGACGGCCTTCGAATAGCCCTTCAGGTCTCAAATTATCCTGTGGTCTTTTTACTTCTGGCCGTTCAGCAGTTTTCGGCGTAAAATCGTCCTTTGGTCGACCTTCGAATGGTCCCTCTGGTCTCAAATTGTCTTCAGGTCTCTTAACGTCAGCCCTCTCGCCTCTGGTCGGCTTATAGTCGTCCTTGGGTCTACCTTCGAAAGGTCCTTCGGGCCTCAAGTTATCTTCGGGTCTCTTAACTTCAGGACGTTCTCCGCGTTTCGGCGAGTAGTCGTCCTTCGGGCGACCTTCGAACGGACCTTCCGGTCTCAGATTGTCTTCCGGTCTCTTCACATCAGCTCTTTCGCCTCTGGTAGGTTTGTAATCGTCCTTGGATCGGCCTTCGAACGGTCCTTCGGGTCTCAGGTTGTCCTCTGGACGCTTAACTTCTGGTCTCTCGCCACGTTTCGGTAAGAAATCGTCCTTTGGACGTCCTTCGAACGGACCTTCGGGTCTCAAATTGTCTTGAGGTCTCTTTAATTCCGGACGTTCGGCACTCTTTGGAGTGTAGTCGTCCTTCGGACGACCTTCGAACGGTCCTTCGGGTCTTAGATTATCTTCGGGCCGTTTAACGTCGGCACGTTCTCCTCTCGTTGGCATGTAATCGTCCTTCGGGCGACCTTCGAACGGTCCTTCGGGTCTCAAATTATCTTGCGGTCTCTTTACTTCCGGACGATCCGCTCTCTTTGGAGAGTAGTCGTCCTTCGGACGACCTTCGAACGGTCCTTCGGGTCTTAGATTATCTTCGGGCCGTTTAACGTCGGCACGTTCTCCTCTCGTTGGCATGTAATCGTCCTTCGGGCGACCTTCGAACGGTCCTTCAGGTCTCAAATTATCTTGCGGTCTCTTTACTTCCGGACGATCCGCTCTCTTTGGAGAGTAGTCGTCCTTCGGACGACCTTCGAACGG